ACAAGGTTGCAAGTTCAATACCAGCCAGGGCTGAGACTCGACTCAGGCTTGCACCCTTCTGAGGTCACTAAAATGAGTACCCAGTTTATTGGGGTCAATTAGCTTACAGTTGTAAACCACTTAGATACTGCATAGCATGGTATGAAGTGGTATATAAATAAAGCTGCTATTGCTAAGCTACTATTGCAATCTGGATGCCATTGCAAAGTCTGGGAAAAACGATTTCACAATGAGATAGTGTATATCTCCTTACACATTGTTCAAAAAGTACTTTACAGTGGTATAATCCCTGATTATGATAGTATAAGTTGCTAAGAGGATTCTTCTGAGTTTATAGCATTTATATATATATATATATATATATATATATATATTAGATGTAGTCCTAAACATCCAGTGTTATTTTGTTTTAGTCCCTCTCTCTTAGCCAATTTACTTTAAATTGGATTGAAAGATCATACTAATTATCATTTTTATTACTTACTTTTATACTTTGCAGGGAACACCCCAGGGTACTGTGATGATCCTGGAGTGCCTTCTCATGGCTCTAGACTTGGGGATGAGTTCAAGATAAAAAGCCTGCTACGTTTTTCCTGTGAAATGGGTTACCAGTTAAGAGGTTCCCCGGAACGAACATGTCTCCTTAATGGATCTTGGTCAGGTTTTCAGCCAGCATGTGAAGGTTAGTAGTACATTAAGATTAGTAGTACACAGCAGCATGAGAAGTCCTACAAAGTTAATTCCAATAATGATGAGAGGATTCCCTCATTGCTATCATTCCACACAATGTCCCCTCACATTCAGCTCTCATGGAAACCCCATCAAATATTAATTACATGAAAGGGTTCTACAGGGGTAAAGGGAAGTGTGGTTATACTTGTCACTGGTATTTTGCACTGATCCAGCCCAACCTTTTGGCTCCCATCCTCCACAGTGCCCCCAAAAATTTTTGTAGGCATATCATTCTGGAAGGCAAGGGTTCTTACCCTTTGAACTTATTGATTTTCCCATATTACTTTATTTTAAATTAAGATTTATAAAATGTGGAATTTTCCTGTGGCCAGTTCCAGTGGTATGTCAAGAATAATGGATCCTTCACTATTGTTTCTGATTTTTTTTAATCCCAGACTGTGTCAGGAAGGATGCTAGTCTTTATGGGTGATCTGGGAGAGGCCAGCATTTTATAGATGATGCTATGTTGCTCAGTGCAACTTTAGAAAAGAGAAAGAGAGAAAATGTTTAAAAGATTAGAAAAAAGAAAAGGTAAGAAGCTTTGTCTTCTGCCAAAAGGGTAAGCCTCCTTTTCCTTCCCAGCCTTTCCCTTCTGCCTGAATCATTTTGCCCTGTTCATCATATGTTGCTTTAGAAGTCTGGCCTGATGTTCCTTCATTTCTACTGAACCCTGAAATGAAATAAAAAGTAACTAGCCCTAGATTATATCTAGGATTCTTTTGTGTGTGTGTGTGCTATAATTTTATGAGTGTGCATTATATGTGCAATGGTAACCTGTAAGGTAGAGTCTGGGTAGGCATAATGTTAGTATTGTAGCAAACATCACCTATACCACAGTCTAAAAGAACTAAGACCCCCCCCCCAAAAAAAAAACCCAGTTAAGAATTCAAAAATTGGTTCCCTTAGGAAACCTAAGGAAATAAGATGAAGTGATTTCAAAATTTATATCATTTGGAAGAGGTTGTATATCCACATATACTGGCTGAAAGGCGAGAAGCAAAAAGAATATTACGGTATTTATGTTCACTGTTCTGTGAGACTAATGGAAAACTTTCTAAATGAAAAAAAGTTTGGCATGTTCTCTAAGCACTACCTGTTAGGGCTGTGAAAAAGAGGGTACAACCTACATTTTCCCAAGCATACCTGCTGTAGCAACTGAGCATGGCTGTAGGCTGATGATTGCTCATCCACACCTTAATGAAAAGTTCCTTGTCTTTTAAAGGTTACAGGCAAAATTGTAACAGAAGTCAGAATTGGAGAAGGTGTGGATGTATCATAATTTAGGAATAAGAGCATAGCATTTTGATCTGGTTTCTCATTTTGTCCTTCCTTTCAGTATACTTGCTGGCCATACCCATAAGTATTACGGACCTTTCCTCTCTTAATTTATTATAAGCATCTGTTCTCTTTCCAAGCCAGTAATCTATCTTTCCATAGTTTATAGCTTATTTCTTACCAATAAAATGATTAACTGTTCTTTCATATCTAGGACCGATATAATGCATTTAAATAGTGGCATGTCTGTGGACGTTTTCATACAAGGCCCTATAAAATCCTCTTAAAGGTGCCCATATTTTATGACATTTATGGAAGTTATTAATTCATGAGAGAGGCCAGAAAAGTTTTTGAAGGTA